AGCCAGCGGGCACGGAGAGAGTAACTAAATATCAGTGCGTCATATTTTAACCGGACGACGCGGAAACCTTCTCCACCGACGAGGGCGACCCGCGGTACCGAAAGCGCGCAAAATGTGACGTCTTTGGTCCTGGGCTTGCCACTGGTCAAAGCCGCTAAGAGCTTTTTTTTAGTCGAGATACAAAATATAAGTGTCGCGAACCGTTTCAATTATGTATGAAAGTAGTTTTTGTTTACTATTTTAGATCAGAAAAGAAACAAATGCAGTTTAGAAAGTACGGAAACGAGAAATGACCAGTCGACATACCCGCCACCAAGCGGCGGAAAAAAACGGCGCATACTAGAAAAGGCTAGTGGGATGAGGCTACGACAAACGAGGAGTGTAGAAAGGTCCCGGATGTACGCGGCGGCGCTGTGGTGGTATACCGGCTCAAGAATCCGATCGGTTCCGAACGTTCCGAAGGCCTTCGGCGCGGGCCCTGCTGGCGATTTGGCCATTTGGCGGTGCGTCAGCGCGAAGTGGCTCCCGTTTTGAACTGATCTTTACCCCGTGTTTGCTGTCGTTTGTGGCCAATCAAATGTTATGCCGAATTAGTGTTTAGTCGCGCTGCAAATGCAATGCGAGCTGCCATGGCCGCCCGCTTCATACAGCCTATCCAACACGTGCTTTAGTGGCGCCCTCTCGAGCCGTCGACACGGAGTGCGGCAGCCGTGTGCGCTCGATGAGCTCACTACTCCTCCTCTAGTTCAAGGCCACTCAAGCCAGGACCTACGACGTCATGAAGGAGGTTATTTTTTGCTTGTTTTTGTAATTCTAATTTGCCTATAACTTTTAAAATAAAGCGAAATTTGAGAAAAGAAAAGTTGGATTAAGTTACTACGTTCAGTACGCTCAGGTTCAGTGCAAATTAAAAACCAGTCAAAACTCATTGCAGGGCCCCTTTAAGGAGTCGCGAGGGACCCCTTCACCGGTCGGTCCTCATTCCATGGCCATGGGGGGTGTGGGGAAGAGGGGAAGCGGACGCAGCCTGGCCGTCGTTGTTTACTTTCGACGGGTGACCGCGGTCCTCCCGAGCAGGCACCCCGCGGCGAAGACGTTGTCTCTTCCGCGAAGGGGTCATTTTGGTTTGTGTGTGCGCGTGTTTTTTTTTTTGTGCTCCAGCGTCTTACAGGGTTCGCTGGTGACGATGGAGTTTCGGGCCAGGAGCTCTGGTGTGGCGCCACTCTCTCTGGAACCCAAGGCTGTGCCAATGTTACGGAGCTGTCAGCCGTGGGCGTTCCAAACTTGATGAACGGCCGGGTCGGCCCCCAGCTGATCATTGTAGGGCTGACGCCCCGTGACTTCGAAAAAGTGTGAAACCATTGGTTAAGACTTCCCTGAGGGCGAGGGAGTGAGTGCCTTCAAAAGCCCCGGAAGGGACGAGGGAGTTCGATTCGCGGCAGAGCTCCAGGCGATTCTGCTCGCCACTCGGGCCGCTACCGAGGGTCGGAGGGCCCACGTGACGAAGACGGTAATCTACACCGACGCAAGGGAAGCACTTCGGGAGCTCTGCCGCCCAGACACACGCAACTCGACAGTTGAGAAAATCCGAAGCTGGATTCGTTCCAAGCAAGCACACTAAACAGTTCCGATCGCGTGGATTCTCGGCCACGCCAACATCCCGGGAAACGAGCGGGCGCAGCTACACGCCGTTAATTTGCCCTCAACAGGCCTCATCCCTCCGCCCGTCCATCAAGAACAAGAAACAGACCTTTTTGAGATTAAACGAGAGGAGCGACTCGCTCGAAAAGCCCAGCTATCCGCACTCCTGCCTGCGGACCCTCACCTGATCCCGCGGGGTTTTTCCCGGTGGGAGCGGGTGGCACTCAGACGGCTGCAAAGCATGACCCCAATGACACCGGTTTTGCGAGCCTGCTTCTACAAGCCCACCAACCCCGCGAATCCCGGACCGGACCCAAACTGCCAGCACTGCGGGGTCGCGGCGACGTGTTCTCACTTAATATGGGACTGCCTCGGGGCCTCGCGAGAACGCGTGGAAGTGCTTGCGACATTGCCACTCGAACTCCGGCCAACTACGTACAGTGAATGGGCAAGACCAACCACCGCAGTGCTCAGTGACGCAAAAAAAAACTGTATCCATCCGTCATCGCGTTCCTCCGGTCCTCCGGGATGGATTGAGAGACTCATTTAACCGTCGTCCCCCCACTTCACTCTCCCCTTTCCCTAACCCTCATATAACCATCGTCACCCCACCTCACTCTCCCTTTTTCCCACCCCCTGCACCAAGTGAGGCCCCCAAGCCAGGCGTGAGGATCAAAATAATATGCGTTTGAAAGAAAGGAGGTCGATTTTGGACTGATTTGTACATCTGTAAGACCTGTTCGATCCGAGTATTCCAACTTCCCCTACTTTGTACAGATGTACATAGTTTGTAAAGTAAATCGGTTTGCCAAAGAACTGGCAAAGTCTCCATCGCCTCCTGAGAACTTCAACGACCATCAGCCTGCCAAACTTGGCAGGACCAAAGTACATTACCAAAGAACGAACCAACACTCACTGGCGCAGTCGGCATGGATGGTCTTGAAAACTGTGGAGGCGACTGAAGATCACGAAGGAGACTCAAGTGCAGGCTAGAAAAGGGAGCCCACGGCGGACCATCACGTTACCCCAGGAATCCGCGCCAGCACAGCCGGCGGCTAGGACCAGCGGAGTCCTGAACCTGTCCCGAAAGAAGCTACGTCCCGGGAACGAGAGTCGAGCGTTCCTGGCGAACCGAAGCTGTTATGCGTCCAAGCGAGTGAGATCCTGGCAGTCGAGCCAGAGGAGCCGGTGGCAAGGGCCAGCAGAGTCCTGTGCGTGTCCCAGGGCAAGTCGCTCGTCGGGCGAACCTCTGATCTTGCGGGGCTCAGTTTGTTCACGACGGAGTCATCGAACCGGCGGCACGGACGACCAGCAAGCTAGCTACATGGGCACGGACCCCACGCGGACCTGCAAAGTAGTAAGCTCAGTCTTCTTTCCCGTTTTGGAAGGGGAGTGGTCGTGTTGCAGTAGGCCAGGACAGGGCGTATGATTACGAGGTTTGGGCATTTCAACATGGACAAACGCACCAGAGGGACGATGGACGCCGAAGGGACGTCGGGGGAAGGCGGTAGCACCACGACGTTGATGAGCGAGCGCCAAAGCGAATTCAACTTTGAGGAGGCGAGACAGCGAATAAAAAGTCTCGAGCTCGAGATGGAGCTCGAGCGCGTTCGATCGGCCAACCGCCGCGCCGAGGAGGGCAGACCGGCGGAGACAGGCGAACGTGGGGAGCAGGATGACCTGCGACATTTCTCCAAAGCATTGTCGGGCGTCATTCAGAAATTCCCATCCGAGGCCAAAGTGCCCGTGTGGTTCGAGGCGGTAGAGACCATCTTCGTGACATATCGCGTACCAAGGGCCATATGGGGCCCGTTGATATTCCCACACGTGGTTGAAAAAGTTCGGTATTTGGCCACGCGACTCATCGCGGCGGAGCTCAACGACTACGCGCGAGTTAAGGAAACCGTGCTCGAAGAGTTGCAGCTCGCGCCTGGTGAGTACCAAAAACAATTCATAAGCGCCACTAAGAGGAGAGAAGAAGCGTGGATACCATTCGCCACGCGGCTGCGCAGCTATCTCCACTTTTACTTGGAAGTGAGGGGAATTCAGACTAAGGACGACATAATTGACCTTCTCGTGGCTGACCAGTTGAAGGCACGGATGTCGCCAGAGGCGCTTAGTTACGTCACCCTGAAAGAGGACCCTAGCTGGTACAGGGCGCCGGAGCTGAGCCGGCCGATGAGGATCTACGAGCAGGCCAAGGGTAGAGGTGCCGCGTTAAAGAAAGTTGACGCAGAGAGCTCAGGGACCTTAGGCAAGACAAAAGGCGGGGGAGCGGCGAATACGACAAATATCACGCGAAGTCCGGCCGCCAGACTGGGTACGGGCCAGCGGAAAGAATGGTATACGGGTGCGGCTCCCTGGACCATCTAAGAGCTGACTGTATACAGGATACGAGTCGCGGGGCAAACGGGACCATCAAAGCACCATCTGAAACCGAAAAGCTCACTGCTCGGGTCACCACGAAGCTGCGCTCGTCGCCACCCAGTGGGCTCATAACGAAACGAATAGCTTGTGGGGGGCGAGAGATCGGCGCCGTTCTCGACACTGGAGCGGACATAACCGTAGTGAGGGAAGCCATTGTACCCGATGAGCTCAGGACGCCTTGCGGCAAGGTTTGCCTAGAATCCGCTTTCGGAGAATCTGTGGAGGCGAGCCTGGTGTTGCTGCCTTTGGCTTTCCTCGAGAGGGGTTCTTCTTTTGCTGAAGTTCGGGAGGCGGCGCCGATTCTCTGCGCACTGACCGACCGACTCACGTCTCGCACTGATTGCCTACTTTCTGGTGAGGCATGGGAGACGTTCCACGGAGCAACAATCGCGGAAGCGCCGGTCGGAGCGGTGGCAAGTGTAGCGGCGGGGGAGGCGGCGCCGTCAGGTGTGGGCAGCCCTGCACGGGAGCCCGAGGGAAGCATAGAAACACAGGGGAGCAGTACCGAAACAGAGGTTGAGGACTGCGCCGAGACGAGTTCTTTGCCACAGACGGATGACACTGAAACAGAAGACGACCTTGCAAAGCGGTCGAAGTTCCGCGAACAACAACTGGGGGACCCCTCCTTGCTTGAGGCGTGGGAAAACGGCCGCGAGGGCAGTGTTCAAGGGATTGGCGTGGCGTTTCAGGAAAACGATGACTATGGGGACTTAGAATGCACCCCACGAAAAGTGAAGGGGTGTCAAGAGGCGCAACTTCCTGATAGTCAAACAGCGCACATCGGAAGAGACGCGCACCTCGTTCGCGCGGTGTTCGACAGACACCGCCGGCTCTTCTCGCCCAATACGGCTATAGCAAAGGTGGGAGAATGCCGCGTAGCGCTACACCCGGGGTACGTGCCGAGGCGGGCCTACCCCTACCGCATACCCGAAATGCTGGGGAGAGAGCTCGGCCTTTCGACAAACATAGAGAAAGGCCAGGTGGCTAAGCCTGAGATCAGGTACCTCGGCCACGCGGCGGGGTCCGGCAAGCACGCGCCGGACCGGGCAAAACTGGCGGCCATCGAGGGACTATTGGTCCTTACTACTAAGCGGGAGCTGCGTAGCGCACTGTGGCTATACGGGTACTATAGGGACTGCATAGCGAACTATCCGGAGGTCGCAAAACCGTTCACCGACCTGACCGGTGGGAGGATCCCGAACCGACTTCCCTGGACAGGTGCAGCTGACAGGGCCTTCGAGGCACTGAAGAGGGCGCTGTGCAACGCAGTGGCGCTGTACACGTCCGATTAGGAAAGGCCGTATTGGCTTTACAATGAGCTTCGGCTATCGCGGTGGGAGCACGTTTGGCGCAATTGGGAGAGGACAGGGAAGAAAATCCGGTCGCGTTCGCAAGTTACCGCTTCACGTCCACTCGGATGCGGCGGTCGATCGAACGAGAGGCATTCGGGGTAATCTGGAGTCTGAAAAAGTTCGAAGTATGGCTATTCGGAGCCTCCGTGACGGTAGTCTCCGATTACGATCCCCTGACGTGTCTGACGCTAAGCGTCCCTCAAGGTACAAAGATAACGAGGTGGGCTCTGGCTCTCCAGAAATACGACGTCAAAGTCGTGCACCGGAAAGGCTCTAGACACGGGAACGCGGACGCCTTGTCCAGAATCGTAAACGAATGTTGGGAGCCCTGCGACACAGTCGGCGCCCGTCCCGAACTGGGAGGTGAGACGAGCTAGGTGCCGAGCCATAAGCGCTTGACGGAGCAATCATGTATTTATTTTAATTCTTTTTGACGGGAATAGTCCCTCAATTTAAACCTGAAACAAAGAGAGCTGCTGTCAGTGTCGCATGCCGTTTGTTACTCCGCGCCAAGTGCATTTTGTCCTTGTTGTTGTGAGCATTCTAAGCCATTTTTCGGCGTGGCTCGCCTTTTGGTTTTGTGATAATTGGTGCTTTTATTATCTGTGCCGGCCCATGTGGATGAGGATTGTGCTTGTCGCGGAGCTAACCGTGTTGGTTTTCCGCAGTCCTTTGTTGTTGTTATCGTCTTTTGCTTTTTTGTTTTGTTTTGTTTTGGGCGAGGGGTAGTAAACTGTTAGCAGGTCCAGGAAGGACCAGAAACACTCACGGTGGGGAGGTGTTAAGGAGTCGCGAGGGACCCCCTCACTGGGCGGTCCTCATTCTACGGCCATGCGGGGGTGTGGGGAAGTGGGGAGGCGGACGCACCCTGGCCGTCGTTGTTTTCTTTACTTTCGACGGGTGACCGCGGTCCTCCCGAGCAGGCACCCCGCGGTGAAGACGTTGTCTCTTCCGCGAAGGGGTCGTTTTGTGTTGTGTGTGCGCGTGTTTTTTTTTTTTTTTTGTGTGCTCCAGTGTCCCACGGGGTACGCTGGTGACGATCGAGTTTCAGGCCAGGAGCTCTGGCGTGGCGCCACTCTGTCTGAACCCAAGGCTGTGCCAATATTACGGAGCTGTCAGCCGTGGCCGTTGCAAACTTGATGAACGGCCGGGTCGGCCCCCAGCTGACCATTGGAGGGCTGACGCCCCGTGACTTTGAAAAAGTTTGAAACCATTGGCTAAGACTTCCCTGAGGGCGAGGGAGTCAGTGCCTTCAAAAGCCCCGGACGGGGCGAGGGAGGTCGATTTTGGACTGATTTGGACATCTGTAAGACCTGTTCGATCCGAGTATGCCAACTTCCCCTACTTTGTACAGATGTACATAGTTTGTAAAAAAAATCGGTTCGCCAAAGAACTCCCAAAGTCTCCATCGCCTCCTGAGAACTTCAACGACCATTAGTCTGCCAAACTTGGCAGGACCAAAGTACATTACCAACGAACGAACCAACATTTACTGCCGGATACCCTATATGTTAATTAACATAGATTGCAAAGCACATCCAAAAAACCAAGAATAAAGGAACATCTGTCACACCAAGCGCCAGGGATAGAACAACGAAACCAGTCGTTCTGCCTTACATACACAGGTTCTTTTATAGCATCAAAATTCGCCGATAGGTTCAACGTCGATGTCGTCTTCTCTGCTCCTAATAAGGTTTCCAACCTCTGCAAACAAATGAACTTACCTATTCCCACCGAGACGCAAGCTGAACCAAGATATATCAGAACAGCTTCGTCAAGTGCGCAGAGGAAGTGGTGCATTCGTTTCTCCTTTCGTGTGGGAAAATGAAATAGGGCAGACTGGACGATGCCTTAATCATAGGCTCCGAGAACACAAAAACAATAGCACCAGGGCTAACTCTGGTCATCTGGGCATACACTGCCGTGATTGTGGGTGTGAGGTTCACCTGCCATGTTGTACAATTTTAGCAGGCACAGCGATCGACTAACTAGTGAAAGTATTGAAGCTGAACACATTGTCAGGAATTAAGAAAACTGTATTTGCACACCATCTTTAAACCAGACAGAAAAAGAAAAAAAAATTCTTGGTGCCTAGAAGAAAGGTGCGCGTGATTCGGGAAATTTTGTAGTTCCGAACCTAGAACAAGACAAAGTATATAAAAATGAGTTGTGAGTCAGCGCGGTTCGTTTGATTTCTGCTTTTTTTCTTGTGTAAGGAGTCAGTGTACGGTGTGAGTGCACTTTTGAGGTATTGCGCTGTACTGTGTAAATTCGAAATTTCAGTGTAGAGGCTTCAGTTGATTTCGTGCCATAATAGAGGGTATAGGGTACCAGTTGAAATGACGTTTACAATGAAGAAACCCGAAATTTATGAAATAAAAAATGTATGGGTCAAATAAAGCACATTCACGCTAATGCATTCTATCTTTAATCTGTTAGAAAACATAAACGATAACTGTGGTTTACTGCGACCTGTATAAAATAATTAATGAACGTAATTAAATATATGTTCCATTAATCCGACTAAGAGATCAGGCAATATAAACAAACTAAAAAAAACTCGGATTTTACGAAATAACACGTAGATTTCCTATAAAAATATGTTTGCAGCGCTATTCAATGACCCCCATTAAATTTGGAGATCAGTGGGAAATCTTATTAGGAGACCTAACTGTAAAATCCCTGGTACACTTACTTTCAAAGGCCTCGAGTATAGCGATGCTTTTCTAGCTAAAAAATTTAACTCTAATTTTTTTAGCAATGGTGCATCACTCCAACCACATACTCCGAGACCAACCGTAGACAAATATATCTCCTCTACATCTCTAAATTATATTTTTCTTGCTCCAAGCAGTAACCAATAAACACATTCATTTTTTAAAGCTAGTATGGTACGTTGCTGGGCTAGTTGTTTCATCCAAGTTAAACGTAAAATAACGCTAAAAAAGACACGAAGTAACCAGGACAAGCGTTTGCCCTGTTTACTTCGTGTCCCAGGTTTTTTTTTTTTTTTTTGGCGTTGTATTTTATGTTTTACGTTCTCAAACCATTAAAAAAATACAATAAAAACTTCCGCCAGAGTGAACGAAATCAAATCCGAACAAATTCTAGTCGTTGCCAACATATTGTGCTTTCCGCTGTAGCATATATGCATTAACTACAAAGATTTTTTCTGACGAAAGGAAAATTGGGTAAGTGGTGTTTATTACACAAGTGAAGCTCTTTCGACAACATAAATAAATATTTGCCCATATTTGTTCTCCACTAACTTTCAAAAGTGCTTCAGAAGCTCACGGAAACTCGGCTGAATAGGTTTTTCTAATGGAAGCCATGTTTCTGCTAACGGTGCAATACGGCTTTCAGGATCAAAGTGGGCTTTAATAAAAAATGAATCAATACTTTTGGAAGTAAGCAAATCACAGTTGGACTATTTCTTGATTTTGTAAAAAGAATATGATTCAATAAAGCGCAATATTTTATTTGAGGCGTTACACTAGGTTTGGTCAGAAGCTACCTATCTGGTTCGTTACTGTACACTTGCTTTAATGGTTACCGCTTCAATCTGGGTAAATTGCATACGGTGCTCCGCAGGGCTCTGCTATAGGCCTTCCTTTTTTTTCTAAACATTAACGATATCCTATGTATACCTTGAAATTGCGATACATTAAATACCAATGATACAAGTGTGTGTGTTTCTTTTTCTGAAACAGATTTCTGTGATCCTGAACAATGGTGAATCTGTGGTTGTGCGAGTTGTCATCGTGGTTTGATCGAAATCAACTTGCAATAAATGTCAATAAACCCAAAATTGTAACTATTAAGATGTAAAGTAAACCCGACAACTATGATATGCATCTAAATTTCAAAGCCTGTGTGATTGAGCGTGCTTGTGTCTATATATTTTAGGAATTATTAAAAACAAAATTTAAGATGCACACCTCATATCAATAAAATTCAGGCGAACATCTGCAGACCTATTTCAATTTTATATAAAATGAGTATGCTCGGCCCAAGTTGGTTAAAGCGCAATGTATACTATGCTTTATTGAATTCTTACCTGCATTGCTGTACACTATAGGCCCGAGTAAAACAACTAGACAAATTTCGAAAGGTTATTGATTTTACATGAATGGCAGTACGTTATATTGAAATCCCTGGCTTCGTTTGGCCTAAACAACCCCTTGTTTTTTTTTTTTTTAACGCCATTTGTTTCGAATAATGCAGCTTTTTCAACTAAAAATTTCAATATTTACCTTTAATAAAAAAAGAAACCAGACAAATCGAAATTTTTTGCCATATACCTTTCTAGAAACACTCAATGCAATCATTGACGTGACGCATAGAGCATACTTTTGCTGAGGACAAATTACGGCACACAGCAACTGGAATATTTAATACCAGATTTGCTAAAGAAACATCCAGACATTCAAGACATGATCCGAAACTCTAGGCCAAACGAAAGGTATAAAAATGTTATAAAGTACCTTTTGTTTTGTGCAAGTTGCAACGAAATAAATATTTCATCATATATTCTCAGCAATCAATATATCCACTTTTTCGTATACTTTTTATCGTTGTCTTGTTTGAAAGCTCTTTCCTTCTGCCATATATATAATAAGGTAGTTCATGAATGTCTTAACTACTGTATGAAAATGATGCATAGTTTGTTGGCAGGTACTGTTCAGTGTTGTATGGGTCTAAATGATTACTGCTTTTCGGGTTTCGCTGCGCGATAGTCAACCGGTGAAAGCGCCACGTCAAGCGGAGTATATCTGCCCTTTACCCGGCTATCGGATACTGTAAAAGTGTAAATGAAAACATAAACAAAAAACATAATATAATCTCGCTGACGGCCCTGCCTTTGCGTTGGAGCTTCTGTTGGTAGTGCTCAAGCGCAAACGCCTGACCTCACGCGAACATCATTTCTGCGCACACGGAGA